AAGCCCATGTGAGTATTTCAGGCATGGAAAGCCAAGACACTGTGGCAAAACAAACAAACAAACAAAAACCTAAATTAAAGATCTCTGTGAGTGAGATCCCAGTGGAAAGAACGGGCCATCAAAGAAGGTGGTACCTTTCTCTGAAGGGAGGAGAGAATTTCCAATTTGACTATGGCCTTGTCTAAATAAGACCAGAGTTGGCGAACTCAAGAGGCCTCTGTAGCCTTGGCAGCTCATGACAAGAGCCTCGGGTGATTACTGACGTCATAAATAAGAGTGTCAGTTGTTAAATCAGCAACGGGAGTCACTGTGCACCTGCTCTACATGTAGGACCTCTGTCCATAACATGTTGTACTATGTGAATTAACACTAAAACTACTACCCAAACAGTACTCTATACTTTGTGTGTCTTTGTGGATGCAGTCTGTTGAAATCTTTACTTAGTATATACTAAGTTGATCTTCTGTATATAAAGATAATTGAAAATGAATCTTGATGTGAATGCGATGGGAGAGGGAGTGGGAAATGGGATGGTTTGCAGGTGGGAGGGAGGTTATGGGGGGAAAAGCTGCTATAATTCAAAAGTTGTACTTTGGAAACTTATATTTATTAAATAAAAATCGAAAAAAAGAAAAATGAAAAACATATGTATATATTCATAGTTATTTGTGTTGTGTTAGTTGTTCATCTCTGTCTACATGAAGTTGTAATCTGTAAATTTTCCATATATACCTCCTTTTATGTCAATGCATTGTTATAGCTACTTTATAATTAATATATCTTATTCTCTATTGAGTAGCTCCATTTTCCTACGATAAAGCATGATAAATATGTAATATACTAAAATTAAGATGCTATCTGTGAAGAATGTCATAGAGAAATATTTAATACATTTCAAAAGGAATATAATGCTCTAATGCTAAATGTGTTTCTGATCCCCTGATCATCCTGCAAACAATTATGCAGTGGTTCATGACTACTGCCTTCCAATGGACCCAAAGACAAGAGGATAAGTTACAGCACAGTGAGAGACTTTTCTCTGAACTGCACGAGGTTCACAATCAGTTTTGATGACTTTCTCTTTCTTTGGAGCAAGGATAATAGTTTTCCAATAGCAATGCTCCTTCATAAAATCTGGTCAATATTCCAAAAATACTCATGTACATAGTGAAAATTTCTTCTATGTTTCATTAAGCTTGTATAGGGCTAATGATCACTTCTTATGAGCAAGATTTCAGGGTAAAACTCAAATTTCTGTTGCATGCCTCTGATGGCTTCAGCTGGTACAAAGTCTAGTAGTGGGTTTGTAAAAAGTAGTGTCCTCTCCTTCGAAGGAGCTGTGGGAAATCAAGACAGCCCACATAATTCATCACACACAAGCACATTCACAGGGAAATGCGGGCATTCATTTGAAATAAAGCACCAGATGCTGCCTGGATGGTGTGTCAGCACAGCTCAATGACTGTGATAGCCCTTCTAACTCAGTGGTGGCACTGTCCTGTAACTGCCAAACGTGCTCTGGAACTGGCAGACCCAACAGGTTCCTCTTTGGGGTTCCTTTCTTTTCATCAAACTCACGTGATCACAGAGATTCAGTGACTGGCTCATGGGCAAAACATGACAAATTTCTATTCAGGAACATGCAATGTCAACACACCCATTTTGTTGTATTAAAAAAAAAAACACTGGTACAACAATGTGTATTTAATAGATAGCTGATCCGTATCTAATAGGCTGCTGCTTATATGATTAACCTCTACTTTTCCATTAATTCACTACCATGAGTCCTGTATTATCTGTTTTCCAATGCCTAGTACACTGTGTACCTGTAAGTGCTGTGTTACTTAGAACCACAGTATTCTTTACTGAATATCTCTGTAAATGTTGAAGGTAATGTTTTCTAAATTTGGAACTTCAAAGTTCAAAGAGATCAGATTGGGGCATAACTGAACCACTACAAGGCTGAAGTTCAAAAGCTAAATGTCCAACCAACAGCAATAGCAGGAACACAGAATTCAACTGGGTTGTGATCTATAACAATGCTGGCTCCAAATATGTCAGGAAGTTCCTTTCTTAAAAAAAAAGAAAGATTCTTTCCTTATAGTCCTATGTTCAAAAGTATTGTAATTTAAAAACATTGAAATTCAAAAAAAATTTAAAAACAATCTATTCTCATGTGTCTCTCACCAAGCTTCCTCCAATGAACACATCTTACAAAACCATAGCACATTATCAGAACCAGGAATTTGACATTGATGTAATGCTAATTATCATATATTGGTGAATTCTACTCTCAATTTGAGCATTGGTAATTATGGAATTGTCTCTCTCACTGCAATTTTGACATTGCAAAAAGTGTATCACAATGAAATGATTAAGTATATAAACTATTTTAACAGCTTTAATAAGATCTAATTCCTGTCATAAATGTCATAACTTTTAGAAGGTACAATTTGATGGATTTTATTGTATTCACAGAGTTTGGCAACCATCACCACATTCTAACTACAGAATATTTCTTCATCCCCAAAAGAAACCCAATCCCCACAAGCAATCAAAAATCTATAAATTTTTCTGTTTCAGAAATCTCAGATCAATAGAATTATTCAAAATCTCCTTCTTCAGCCAGGCCTCGAACCAGCATCCATCAGGGATGCTGGCACTTCAGGCCAGGGTATTAACCCATGCGCCATAGTGCTGGCCCCACTGCTCAACTTCTGATCCAGCTCCCTGCTGATGTACCTGGGAAAGCAGCAGAAGGTGGCCCACGTACGTTGGCCCCTGCACCCATGTGGGGATCTGGGAGAGACTCCTGAAGCTTCTGGCTTCCGCCTGGCCCAGCCTCAGCTGTTGTGGCCATTGTGGGAGTGAGCCAGTGGATGGACGATTCCTTCTCTCTCTCTCTTCCACCATTTATTCCTCCTCCTCCTCTCTCTGCAACTCTACCTTTCAAATAAATAAAACAAATTTTAAAAATTGAAAAACAAATCTACTCCTTTATGACTGGCTTCTTTCACTTAATATAGTGTTGTTAAGGTTCTATATTTTAGCATAATTTCATACTTTTTATTATAGATAATACTTCTTTTACAGACATGCCATTAATTTTAATTTGTCTGTTTTTCATTTGATACAAATTTGGCATTGTAAGATGTTTATTTCGTGTAAAATAATTTTTCTAGATTTATTCATTTATTTGAAAGGCATAAATACGGAGGGAGAAGGTGAGAGATATATATCTATGTATAGATATATATGAATATATATGCTATCTCCTGGTCCACTACCCTAAGGAACCACAACACCTGAGGCTGTGCCAGGCCAAAACCAAGAACCTGGAGCCTCTTCCCTGTCTCCTATGTGGGTGCAAAGGCCCAAACATTTGGGCCACCCTCCACTGCTTTCCCAGGAGCACAGGCTCATTAGCTAGGAGCTGGATGGGAAGTGGAGCAGCTGGGACTGGAACCCAGGGCCCATATTGGATGCTGACACTGCTAGTGGAGGCTTACCATTCTATGACACAGTGACTGCTACACAAAACCATTTTAAAATCAAGATAAATAAGGGTTGTTAAAAAGTTCATGAAAAATGTATGCTATGAAAAAGCTGCATGACTTTCATGTTTTTGCACCAGATAACCTAACATTTTAATTCCATTTACCATGAATTTTTGAAATATCATCCTACCACTATGGACAACTGTGTTCATGATTTTGTGTGGGACATGTTACCAAGTTATAGAGTCCTAAGTAAACTACACAAACATTAAGGAAGATCATGACTTACTCTAGGATTTTGTATGAAGTTGTTTTCATTCCCTAAGGACATAATTTCTGCATTACATAGTGCAGATACCCGAGCACCAATAGCCAAACTGTTTTACAAAGTGGTTAGGCACATGTTAGAGTGTCAAAAAATGTACTGTGCTTGAATTTCTCTACATCCTGATCATAACATGGTTTACTGTGAACGAACAATTTTTTACTTTAACTATTAGCGTATTAGTATCTCATTCTAATTTACACTTGGGTTTCCCTAACAGACAATAATGGGAACACCTTTTTAAATAAATATTTGAAACTGTGTATCCTCTTCCATGGCTGAAATATCTCTCAAGATTTTTGTTCATATTCTAATGTGATTGCTTATTTTCTTGATGTTAAATTTAGAATGTTACATTTAGAAACTATGTATATATATATATATCCACTTATACATATACATATATGTGTATATCTGTAATGAATGTACAATGTAATAAATACTCCACAGGATATGTTACAGGATAAGTGATTTGGTAATGTTTTCTCCCAGTCTTTGTTTTCCCTTCACATCCTCTTAAATAAGTCTACACAGAGCAAAAGATTTTAACGTTGGTGAACACCATTGTATTTGTTCTGTGTTTGATAAATTGGGCCTTTGGTTTCATGTGTACTATTTCTGCTTCATCCTATGTGCAATGGTTTCTTCCTGTGTTGTCTGAAGACACAGTTTATACTTCACATTTGGGTCTATAAATTAACTTTTCTACAAAAAGTAAGCTTTAATGAGTGTTTTCTTTTTTTATTTTTTCCTGTGTGTGCATATTTGTTTAAGATGATCTTCTCCATTGAATGCTTCTGCACCTTCATTCAAAACTCATTTGGTTTTATTAGCATTTGTAGTCATGGACAAAGTAGTCTACAAATGTTTTCAAATAATATATGAATGTAAGGTTTTATCATGGTTTGTACATTGAACTCTGACTTTATTTGAATACAGTATATGAAGTTATGGCAATGGAAAACATGAGAAAAGCTATTGCATTTGCTAACTGTGTAGCTTTGGTCAACTTCTATGTCTTTGTGCTAAAATATAAAATTCATAAGATTTTAAAGAAAAAGTTACATTCAAAATGTCTAATCATATATCACATTTAGCATTTTAAAAGATTTTTTAAAAAGATTTATAGGGAGAGAGAGAGAGAGAGAGAGAAATCTTCTGTGTGCTGGCTTACTTACCAGATGGCTACAACATCCAGCAGCGGCCAGGGCAAAGCCAGGAGCCAGGAGCTTCATCCAGGTCTCTCACAAGGGCAACAGGGATCCAAACACTTGGGCCATCTTCTGCTGGTTTACTAGGCCATGAACACGGAGCTAGGTTGGAAGGGGAATAGCTGAGATGTGAACTGAGTCCTGTATGGGATGCTGGCAACACAGGTGGCAGCTTTACCCACTATGCCACATGCTGGCCCCTAAGAGATATTTTAAATCAGAAAACAAACTCTCATCTTTCTAAGATCCAGAGTGTTTTCTCTGTCTCTGGGCGATAAGCATTTATAACCCTTGTCCTCCTGTTCTTGGCTTGGAACTGTGATGTAGTGCTGTGCATGTGGGCTGAGACCAAGCGCTGGGTTTACTGCTGTGTGTGGTGGGTCAGAAACATCCACACACACACTCCAAGGCAGTACATGCTCAAGTTCTCAGAGGGAGCCCACAAGACCAAATCTGTATATGGAGTAAAGTTATTGTGTTCTGGCTCTCTGCTCTATATTCCAACTGTTTCTGGATTTCTCTGAACATAAGCAAAGCCTAACTGTGCCAACTAAAGAAAATGCATGGAGCTACCACCAAACAATCTTAGCAACTGAACACAGTCTTTACTTCTTCAACTTTTTAAAGCAATCCTTTAAACTTTATGATTTGCCTTTTGTATTTCCCAGGGGCATCTTCCTGAATGTTGTTCCAAAGAAATAATGTTCCTGGGTTGAACATGGTGAATGTGTTCCTAAAATGGATGTGAAACTCTTGACAGAGGGGATTTCTCTTGGGTGTTGCACAAGTAAGGCAATGAATTCTCACTACAGTCTCCATAAATAGTCAAGGTTCTGATCATGGGAATGTATTTTAATTCATTCAGTGTTGGAATAATCAGAAGAAGCACCATGATTAAATATGCATGCTTATGTTTGCATATAAATATTCATGCTTGTACAGTTTATTAGTTACAACCTATGTCACCATGCCCAGGGGTACAGTAATATAATTTAAAATACACATTCCACATTTCAATATTTAAAACATTTAAAGTCTTTATGAAATATATGGTAACTAGCATTGTTAATATAATTTTCTATTGCAATAGTTTGTGTATATAAATATTTACATAAAATATAAAAATTGTTTTGTTAAATATATTGTTATAAATAAGCCTGCTAGCCCATAAATATCAACAACATGTTGGATGTCAAGGAATGGTAGATTAAATTCACTTCTACTAAGCTACAATTTAAAGCAAGGATTTAAAGATTCTTACATAACATCCTGGCCAGAGACAAAAATAAATCATGAAACCACAGGGCAAGCAAACTCTGAAGTCAGAATTATCCCCAGGTATATTTACCAGTTTCTCATGAGTCAAAGAAATTTATGAAGCCATGTATTACAGGAGAGAAGAGAGTGAGAATTGGAATCAAAGAAATGTTCTTAATCTGATAGGTGGTACATTTTACAGATAAAACAGAGACACCCTTGACTTCACATCCAAGCTGAACATTTAGTTTATGTTAATATTGAGCTGGCATTGCCTCCTGGCCCCTCACAGAAGCAGAATTAAAAAGAGAGAGAGAGAGAGAGAAAGTGAAAGAGACCTACTTGGAAGAAACATACTTGAAATCTGCTTTCTGACTGAGAATGTTGAGCTATAAGGAACATAAACAAAAAGAAAAAAAGCCCTCACACAAAATCTCTAAATTTAAGAATAAAAAGACGCTATTTTCAGCTACCAGGAAAAGCACACATTCACTACAGATTTTAAAATCATTGTATGCAATGCATACTTGATATGTTAAGGAAGTAAAACTGACAAATATTAAGAAAAACTAGAATATAATATGTGACAATCAACAACTATAAATCAGGCACAAACTCTAAAGTAAAATTACAATAGAAATTAAATGGGTCAAAATAAGCACAACTAGAGAAAAGCTGTGAAAAATTGAGAGAATTATATGGACCACAGGATATTATGCAGTATGTGTTCTGCAAAAGGGAGAGAGTACATATGAAAGAAGAAAAGAGATTCACAGAACAGTGAGAGAAGGCCCAGCATACATAGCATCCAGACTCCAGAAAGAATAGAGAGGAGAACTAATCAGATATCACTCACAACTTCACAGGTTTACTGAAACATACCAACATACGCACTTAGGGAGTCCCCTGAGTTTCAGTCAGAAAACATTCCATGTTCGTGGAGGTGTGTTTCAGTGAAATTACAGAGCATCAGAAACCAATCAATCATAAAATCTGTAAAGAGAAAATCAGGTAACTTATAAACTGATCAGAACAAATTGATGACCAGGTTTTCAGCCCCAGTTATAGAAGTGGCAGATACCCTGGTACACTATCAGTCTAGACACTTCTTATTTGGCACATCTATCTTCAAAGAAAACTTTTAAAATCCTGTATTTTCAGGCAAGCTAGATTATGATTGTTTTTTTCACCAGGTCCCAACCAGAGAAGCTTTCTTGAGGAAGTAGAGAAGTGATTGCAGATTAAGTGTATGAGTTAGAGGAAAGATGAGAAGCATGTAAGTAGATCTTAATAAACATCAATTCACAAAACCACAACAATAATATGATAGAAGCAAACCAAGGACAACACTTGCACACAAAGTACCTGGCTTGAACTCTGTCCAAAAGGGTAAGGCAATAACAATAATTCAGTATCTGTGAGCACTCCTGGCAACATGTTCTTTGTTTCTAGAAGGTACTGTTAACCTAAACTTATCAGAATCCTTACAGAAATGCTTATTTTCATGAGTGAGAAGTGAGTACTAGACATTGTCCCTGCATCATCATTCTCTTTGGCATGAAAGTGCTTAAATAAGAATAGAACAATCAGGTCTGCCAAAAATTCCATTGGCCAAATCTGACACAACTTGAGCATAAAAATAAATATCAGTAACAGATTGCATTCCGTGTTATTTATATTGATATAAGAATACAAATATAAATAAATGGAAGGGCAATAAAGCTTTTATTTAATATAGAATGCCAAATTAAAAGCATAGTAATGATATGACTTTAAGAAGCTCTGTTAGGCCATTTCAGAGCAATAATAATTTCAGCTAAGGGATCTTCATAACTGCAAAAATGAGTTGGTAAATATATGTGGTGTGAACCAGTATGAATCAATGTTCTTAAGAGAAACAGAATCAATAGGATCCTGTTGATGACGTACATATGTACGTGTGTATGTTTGAATTGGCTCACAAGGTTGTGAAGATTGGCAAGTTGAAATCCACAGACTGTGCCCACAGGCTGGAAACTCAGGCAGGAACTGGGGCTATAGTTGTAACCCAGAATTTCTTCCTAGATGAATCTTGGATTTGCTCTTAGGACTTCCATATGATTGAAGCCTTATGAAGAATATCTACATTACTGAAGCTAACAGATTATAACTGTTCACCACATCTACAAACTAGAAAGCAATAGAGAAAATCAACACAGCCAGAAAATTTTAAATATCAACCAAATTGACATGCCTAGCAAACAAAAGGAGAGAAGTTTCAACTGACCAAACTCAGGAATGAGAAAGGGAAATTACTAATGATGCTGCAGAAATAAAATAGATTGTAACAAACACTTTAAACAAGTGTGTGCCAGCAGGTTTAATAATATAGATGAAATGCACAAATTCCTATAAAAATACAAACTACCAAAATTGACTCAAATAGAAAGCATGCATATGCCCACAATGAGTATGGAGACTGAATATTAAAAAAAAAAAAAATAAGCCTCATGCAAAGAAAAATGCAAGCCTAAATAACTTTATTCATGAATTATGCCAATTATTTGAAGAAGAATTAACACCAATACAGGAGAAGGAAGAATTTTTTAAGCTCATTTTATGAAATTAGTGTTACCTAATACCAAACTATCACAAGAAAACTGTTGACTATTATCCCTTTTGAATTAGATGCAGAAATCCTAAACAAAATCACACCAAACTGAATACAGCAGTTTATCAAAAAGATTATAAAGCTTGCACAAGTAAGATTTGTCATAGGATTGAAGGGTGGTTCAACATTCAGAAACAATCAAAGTAATATATTCTTAGAACAAAGGAAATAATAAATAGCATTATCTCAATAGATACATAAAAATGTTGCAAAACCCAATATTCTTTCATCATAAAATGCTCAAAAATTAGAAATAGACAGAAACTTCCCAATCTGATGCAATCCAAAAACAAAATCCCAGATCCATCAAACTATGTTATAATTCGAAATCATTTCATTTCCTGATCAGAAACCAGGAGATGGTGACGACTCTTTGCACCATCATTCAGTATTTCTGGATGCTCCAACCAAAGTCAAACTTCAAGAAAAAACTTGGATCGGAATGGAAGAAGTAAAGTTATCTCTGTTTTGCAGGTGATAGGATCTTTTTTTTTTTTTTTTTTTTGACAGGCAGAGTGGACAGTGAGAGAGAGAGACAGAGAGAAAGGTCTTCCTTTGCCGTTGGTTTACCCTCCAATGGCCGCAGCAGCCGGCACGCTGCAGCCGGTGCACCGTGCTGATCCTATGGCAGGAGCCAGGTGCTTCTCCTGGTCTCCCATGGGGTGCAGGGCCCAAGCACTTGGGCCATTCTCCACTGCACTCCCTGGCCACAGTAGAAAGCTGGCCTGGAAGAGGAGCAACCAGGACAGAATCCAGCGCCCCGACCGGGACTAGAACCCAGTGTGCCGGCGCCGCTAGGCGGAGGATTAGCCTAGTGAGCCGCGGCGCCGGCCATGGTGATAGGATCTTATGATCACTCTAAAGAAATCACAAAGGAACCAATTAAAGCTAATCAATTATTTCAGCAATTACCATATAAAATATTCAAATTCTAATAGTATTTGCATTTCTATACAGTTACACAGTAAACTTCTCCAAAATAAAATTAAGAAAACAATTTCATTTATAATAACATCAAAAAGAAGTAATTAGGATTAACTTTAATATAATTACAAAGCTGAAAACAGAAAACTGTAAAACTTTGTAGACAGAAATTAAAGAAGACCCAAATAAATAGGAAAACACCCTTGTTCCTACATCAGAAGACTTAATATGACAACACAAACCAAATCTAACACAGACATAGCATACGCTCTTAGAAAATGAATTGTTGCAAACTGTAGTACCAGAAAGTAAGGATGTCTTAAAAATATCCAAAAGGAATGAGGATATGGCACACCGGGTTCTAGTCCCGGTCGGGGCGCCGGATTCTGTCCCGGTTGCCCCTCTTCCAGGCCAGCTCTCTGCTATGGCCAGGGAGTGCAGTGGAGGATGGCCCAGGTGCTTGGGCCCTGCACCCCATGGGAGACCAGGAAAAAGCACCTGGCTCCTGGCTCCTGCCATCGGATCAGCGCGGTGTGCCGGCTGCAGCGGCGGCCATTGGAGGGTGAACCAACGGCAAAAGGAAGACCTTTCTCTCTCTGTCTCTCTCTCACTGTCCACTCTGCCTGTCAAAAAAAAAAAAAAAAAAGACAAGAGTCAGCTAAAAATCCATGCTAAAAACTGGATTAATTTGGCAACAAGATAAAATAGTATTGAATTATAATACAAATTATGAAATAAATATTTCAGCTCCATAATGAGGATAGATTAGGTATTATTGGATACTGGTGAGGAAATTCTTTCTGTCTACAAGAGTAGCAGGAAGAATCCTTCTGACAGAGTTGTTCTATATGTTCAAATGGTGGTGTCCACATGATTCTATGTATAAGATTACATTGCATGTAAGTACACATTCTCAAAACACACGCATACACTGCAATAAGACTTGTTAAATTTGAGTAAATTCAGTAATTTGTACTACTATAAATCTCATAGCTGTAGTATTGTATCCAATACTTGTAAGATATCACAATCAACTTTTGGAAAAATTAACTAATATGTTATAGATGTCCATATATTGTATTATTTCTTGCAACTTTATGAGAATTTATGTTTATCTCAGAAATAAAAGAAATTAAAAGTCAATGAACAAGTTTAGTAACAGAGTTCATATTGTGGAAAGAAAACTAAGAAAATCAAAAGAAATCCAACAGAAAAAAATAGAAAGTAAAATGTGACAGAGTAAGTTTTAAAATTGAAATGAAATACAAAAGAATTTTGCAATGGGTTCATATAGTCATTTTAATTTATGTGCTTAGGAGCTCCGGAATCAGAATAGGGAGAAAATGGATTATAATAATGCTTTGATGTGTCCTCTGATTCATGGTAGCTAATACATAAGATACAAAAAATATAATGTATATGAGTGACATTGACATTTTGAGATTTCATTAGTGTTTATAGCTCTTGTCTATATTCCTGTTGAACTGTAGTCTTTCCACTTTCTACTTGTTGAACTCTATTTAGTTGATAATTAAGCCTTTTTTATAATGTAAATTGAAATTATGCATTGCAGAAATTAAAAGGAGAAAGAGAAAGTGAAAGAAAGGATGAAAGAGAGAGAGAAGAGAAAGAAAGGAACTATCATTATGTGCTTAAAATTGTATGTATGAAATGCCTTAAATATGCTTGAATTTAAAATAATGTTCTATTAGCAAAGAATTTTCACAGTATTATTTTAAAAAAATGAGCCGTGCCCTAGCTGAAGCAGAAATTTTATCCCAAGTAAGATAAAACTAAGGAAAACCATACGCACCACAGGTGTCATAATATATGAGAAAAGCCAAAGGAAAGGACATGAAAAAGAAGAAATGATCATGAAGTGAACAACAAGGCAACTTTGGACAGATCTTAACAGCCATAATAGAAACCTAAAAGCCTAGAGGAGAAATCAGTGGAATTAAGAACAGAAGCATACATAAAAATTATTAAAACCAAATGCCTGCTCTTTTAAAAGCTTGTTTACACAGAGAAACATTTCTAGCAGACTGATGAAGAAAACAAACACCAACACAGAGGTTAAAGGAAAGTGGCATCACAACAGACACCACGGGCGTTGTGTGTCATGAGGGATGCTGTGGAGAACCCGTTTTTCATAAAACTCACGGGCGTTGTGTGTCATGAGGGATGCTGTGAGAACCCGTTTTTCATAAAACTCACGGGCGTTGTGTGTCATGAGGGATGCTGTGAGAACCCGTTTTTCATAAAACTCACGGGCGTTGTGTGTCATGAGGGATGCTGTGAGAACCCGTTTTTCATAAAACTCACGGGCGTTGTGTGTCATGAGGGATGCTGTGGAGAACCCGTTTTTCATAAAACTCGCAATGTAGCTGCAGCAGAACAAGTACCAGAAAGTCAGAAATTGCTAATGCTAATTCAAGTGAAACAGAGAAACTGAACAGCACTATTTCACTTAGATTAATTTAATTTACAAGCTAAACACCTACAACATCTAAACAACCCAGGCAGGCTCAGATTGCTTCACCACCGGATACTCTAAAACGAAATTCTGTACAGTTACATACTAAATAAAAACAGTTAGATCTAGAAATGCTACCTAGTCATTTTGGTACAGCAAAGAAGAGAGAATAGAAAACAAATGTGATTTAAATAAATCATACATAAAAAAATTCTTGCATCAAATCAGCAGAAGTGATCCAACCAACTTAAAGTGCACCCAAACTTGAGGATATTCTCATATATTAGGAATTACTAAGTAAAAATTTTAATGATGTGGTTAATGGGGAAAAGTTAGTGGCCTTTTTTGTTTCCATGATTAAATATTAAATTACAGATGAAAATAATGTGCTGAATTCCTGAGTGCTGCTTCACTGCTGTAGGAGTGCATTCTGCCTACCCTCCCCCACACACTGCAGGACTTTCCTCTAGGCTAAGACAAATCGTGAAAGCACA